ACGGTGTTGTATTCGTGTTCTCGACCAAAAGGATCACATACCATTCCTTTACTTGGGCTTCGTGGCACGAGTCACTTGTTATCGGTCAGAAAGTGAACACTACCTGTAACTTGAAGAATGCTACGAAGAGTGATAGGAATCTAATTTCTCCACAAAACATTATTCCTAAATCTCACATTAAGGTCACGAACATAAAAGAAATGATCACCCTTTAAAAGAGCTCAAGATTTTTTAAAAACTTCTCCTCGTTAGCACCTCAGTAAATGTATTAAGAACAGTATGGAGAATATGAACTATGATGTAAGGATGTAAAAGGTTGATAAACCTAATAAGAACAAGTCAGCTAAGGATTGACTTGAAAAACGCGGATTGCCAATGGCGAACATCGAAACTCGGTAAATTTTGCTTGACGCACAAATTTTCAGGTGTCTCCTTTTAAAAAGCAGCATTGACCGGAGTATGGTAAAGATCTTTCACTTGAGAAAGGTATTCCATATCTGTCTAAGTAAGTCCTTACATACAGGATGTTCAAAGGACCGGAAGTGATTTAACAGGCGTTCTTTCCTTCTTGCTATGATTACAACTGAAGTTGTGTTTGTTTTATCAATTCATGGTGATAGGAAAAAAAATGCTTTCACTCATTGTTTCAACTATGGTATAATCTAGAGAAATTAGGAATGTCGTCGTCAAGATTGATAATCCACTCTTTAAGTTCTCTGACTCGTTGTTTGGCTAGAGGACCTTAAAATGTCGAATAGAAATTGTACCAAATCCTAATGGACCATCCTCGATGCATTTGATATCATCACTTCCATCTGTAAACGCTTTATCATTTTCTCCAAAGCAGTGCTACATAGGTGCCGCTGATAACGTTTTCTGCATATGTTGTACGGGATTGTGATCAAAGTCCTTTCGCGGGGAACAAAGAACCCGCTAAAACTTACCTCGCTCTTTAAAGTGAGCTCGGTAGCTACGGTTATATTTATGCTCAGCTAGTATTTGAGTTAGGCACAGTTTCACGCCCTGTCATAGCCTGAATTATCTTTTTCAAAGCTGTTCTATCTGCAATTGCTTTAATTTCAGTTTACATGGAAACATGAATTTAATACTTGGCATCCAAAGATAACACACGATTCTTTTACATTATTTATGGCAAGTTTCAGTGTTTGTCTCCTTGTTTTGTTTATCCAGTTGCGAGAATTAAACACTGAATTTGAATTAAAGATCAATTGATCAGTAGAATCCATTAGACTGAAACCAGATAAAGCTAAATATCTCTGCCCTCTTCGTGGGAGCAAGGTCTCCTGTCTACACACGGTAATTTAAACTATTCTGTCAAAATATGCGATTGGTGCCAATATCTTAAAAAAAGTGTCTTATAACTGGTCATAATTGAGACATTTTCATCGTGTTAGACTAGGAAACCAAAGACAGAAATGAACTGAAGGCCCGCCGATGGAAGAGGAGAGAGCCAGCGCAATAGCGTTCATCGTTCTATATTTTGAGAGACACTTAAGGGTACTGACATGGTTGGCTCTGCGAAAGACTGAAAAGAAAATCGTGTATGCTGAATGGCTCCTAGCAGGCATTTCTGCGGAGTTTATATCAATTTGTCTGACTTCATATCTTAAAAGAGAAAAAAACGAAGCTCTAGGATAGCTGGGTCGTCTTTGGTAAAAGACACCCTCTCCTCCTGCCTTATTCTTGCTATTCGCGCAGGGTCTTGATGTGGAGGGCGTGATTCATAAGTGTGGCTCCAATAAATGAGATAAAAAAGCCTAATGCCGTGAGCCCTGCCGCACGCAACCGAGCGAGAGAACAACTACTTGCACCCGGTTTCATGTCTAGATAATTAATGACCATTTGGGGACTTATCATGATCCCTTTGTTTAAAATCGTTTTTAATCCTACGAATACGCAATGAGGAGTATTTTTGCGAAAGTTTACGGTACCGGACTTTCAAAGGAAAATTCTTGAACTTAAGCCCAGATCTTCTTCTAAGCTGTCGAGCCGAGTATTTCTATTCTTACAAAAATATTTTTTCAGCTTCAATTAGGCTCAGCTTAAGATGAACTCTTGGCCGCGATGACATGTTTTTATGAGCAACAAGCTTCGCGAAATAAGAAGAAACCTACAGCTAGTATCGATGAAGCATACCAACCCAAGCCTCTGCTGTTTTGAGTCTTGTAAGTACAAGGTGTCCACAGCTACCAGCTGGGAATTTCAACTCGGTGGTGTCGACAAGCTAAAGACTGGTTTGCAATGAATAACATGTCTGAGAAATTACAAAGTGTTCAGGTGATCTGGTCAAAGTCCAAAGTGTCTTTTGCATTGTATCTAACGGTATGTCTGGATTTCAGGCGCAGCTTGGCAGAAAATTCAATTTTTTAATGCAGAGAAACAAAGACAATTTAGGTCAAAGTGCTTACAAATAAAAGATAATTGATTTTCTCGAGTTGACCTAACCATTTCTTTTAGTGCTCTGTACCGTAATTTAACCTGAACAAACTCGCACGTTCGAAATTATGTAGAAACGTCTCGCCTATATCGACAAACCACTCTTTCTCTTTATAAACTGAGTTGATAATGAAAATTGGCTACCGAAAGAGTTTAAAAACTGATGTTTCGAGCGTTAGCCCCTCGTCAGAGCCAATGGAAAGGATTTAACAAGAGTGATTTTATGAAACCAGAGTTATTCTCTGAAAATTAGGATTGAAGAGTACAGTAGGAGTAAGCAATGACGACGACTGCCCCAAGTAGGCGTCGTGTGTATGAAATGACCTCAGCTAGATTTACTCCCGGAATACATTTCCTTGTAAGAGGGTCACAGTAGGGTTCCCTTACCTGCCAAACGACAGAACGTTAGCTGTAAAAATTTATGGATTTTTATCGCTAGTCGTTAAAAAGTAAATCGTCTATATACGATGTATCATTCGAGAGGTGAGAGACCAGTCGTAAATGTGTTAAGGATCCGTAAAATAGCTAAATTTTTAAAGGTTAGCCGTAAATGCCATCACGCCAATGAGGTCCTCTTTATCTTAATTAAAAGAATCATGTCGCGCCATATCACGATGACGGCTTTCTAGGTGATTAGTGTTTCTCTTCTTACGGATTTTTTATTTTGGAATTGTGCATGTTATATCAAATCTCGGCAGGAGTTGTTGAAAAGCTCTTTTGCTCTCAGAATGATAATTAGAATTTTATCTTCGTCTATGTGAATACGTTATGGTAGACATTTTTCCTAATAATAATGTGGCATGAATTATTCTCCGTTCTAGCGCTGCAAAGCCTCGAACATTTAAGGGGACACGTGGAAAATAGGGACAGTATTTTGAAAACGCATATGTAGCATGACCAATTTAAATTAAATGAATAGTTTCATTCAGTTCCTTTGTTTCGCTTTGTACTAAGGAATGTTTTTGCATTTCAAAAAAAACTATTTAATCCTTAAGAGAGACTAGCATCTATTTTCGCCCTTTAATATCACCAATGCATCAAAAATTTTAGTCGTGAGTAGAAACAAAAACAGCGAAAAACGAGGGACAAATTCTGCGGATACTTCAAGTGAACCCTCTTCTAAATAAGACTTTGAAAACAATACAACAAAAACAATGGAATGATCAATCATCACTATAATTTCCTTCTAACCCCGTGGGTATCACGTGGTCTTCAGGGGATGGGGGGAGAGGGGATATCAGTAGTACCCCTCACGGGGGAGGGAGATCGGGTGAATTTAATCGTGAAACAATTCAAATCCTTCAGTCCCTTTCTCTTACACCCCTCCCCCTCCCCGGTGATAAATACTGACTGTTCCCCCTTTTACTTTCCGTGATTCATAAGCGCTGTTAATTGATCTGAACGGACATGTTAGTACAAGGGTGTACCTAATTCAGTCGTCTATGACAAGAATTGAAAATGCAAATCTGTCCTTATATCTTTCTTCAATTTTTTTTTATCATTATGAATTGATAATCAGATCATCAGTTTCGATCCAAAGTGCTAATTCCACTTTTCAGTCTTTAAACTTCCAAAGCTAAGTTTAAACATGTTACTCATCCAGAAAACTGATGGAATAAACAAACTCGTTGGCTACAACTTGCCAGTTTTCTCAATGTAATGTCACATTCTCCATCTAATCTACAAGGACATGAATGTAAGTTGGAGGGGATAATTCACCATGAAATCAATAGCTAACCGACACCTTTAAGCTCTTGTAAATTCTTAACGAAGCATACCTCTAATTTTCAACAATGCTTTTTAAAATGATTTATAGTTTAATTCATTCTGAAATTCTTTTATCCTCTGATCAGAGATAATTTACACTGTAAATGCGTTAAAATTTCATCAGCATTCATAAAATACTTCATATGGAACCAAATAGCTTCAATGGCGCTTGTGTAAGTCGCAACAAAGCCTGCGTTCTTGTAAGAAGTCTTTGTGATATAACTACGTGTCCTTGATAGTCAATGAATCTCGCCCTCCTACCTAGTTACTGTAATGTGTACTGTCATCAACCTCCATTCACTTTGAGCTGATTTAAATTCTCCGACACAGTTGATGATAGCTTTTCGTGTCTCGCCGCAAGACGAGCAAGATAGTTGATGGTGGCTAATAAGAGATTCTACGCCCTTACTTCATCCACGAACACGGCATCAATAATTTTTCCTGAGCTTGTACTGAATTTTCATCGCTGATAACAATTTTTTCCGTGTCGCTTCAACCAGGAATGATAGGACGCTTTGATAGTATTTCAACCGCAGGTTTGAGATTAATCATGCACACACGAATCAGATAAAAAAAAAACAAAAAACATTTAACATATTTCATTAGTCTGTACTTTATATTTCCAATCAAGTAACCTAACTTGATCAATTCGTTCATTTTTCATAGCAATCGAGTCGAGTCTCGAACTTGTTTCATACAATTGATCACCGCTTAAGCTAAAAATATCACAACTGAATAAGAAATTAAAAAGGTTATCATTTCGTAATCATACATACCTCGATTAGCGTGACTCGTAAGAGAACGCACACGAGTTCGTCGAAAGTCCCGAAGCTACACAATTGACCACACGGAGATAAATGGGAACCCGCGCCTAAATGCACGCTTGCTTCAAGAGCACTTTGTGTATTAATTACACTGAATGATAATATGGATTTATGTATAAATTAGTTGCAAATAAGTCATTCACGTCACAAGATCAATGAACCGCACCCTGCTCACCAGTCCACGACGACTACAGTCTCCGTAATGCGGTAAACAAATGGCTTCGTATTGAATGTTGGACCAGCTGAATCGCAAATTGTGTCAGCTTTTTCTCTCATTCCGGTTCAAACAAATATTTGTACTGACAGATGAAATTGAAGCGTTTAGCAATGTCCTTAGGCCAAATTAGTTCTCGCCATAATCCGCTTTGATACTGTGACCTTTCTGTTGAAGATCTTACTAGAAATATCCCTCATTTACCTTTAAGAATGTGACGTGCAAAAGCGCATGTGCTAAGATTACCAATCATTACAACAGAACAAAGAAATGAGCCTAGGCATCAACCGTGAAATGAACAGAGAGTATTCTGAACTCAGTCAAATGTCCTGGTAGAACTCAAATTAAAAAAAAATGCAATTAATTGAAATTTTAAACTCTAACCAACTCATTCTTGAACCCAGTTTCTAGGATAGCCTTAATCCAATAAAAAAATAATTAGACGGATGGAGAAAAAACTTAAATGGGGCTTATTTATCTTTTATTAAGTAAGTACCGCAAGAGGTGGTTAATATGACATTTCCGCGCGTTGTTTGCAAGGTTACCGATGACCAAATTCTTCATTCTCCCAACTACCTCTTAGAAATTAAGGACAGGTCATCATTTGTCGCCGTGAGGGGGAGAAGGGGGCGGAGGACTTTTTGGGGGGGATCGCATCTTAGGGGGAACGGGGGGGTATCAGTCTTCGCTAACAGAGTGTAAAGGGGAACTATTGGAAATTGACTTCCAACTAACTGCCAATGAGGAAGG